CTTGTGATTCTTACAGTTTTTTCTCCCTTATTGTCAATTATTTCTTTAGGGTTTTTTTTTTGAATATGGAGTCTCATTCTGCTGCCCAGGGTGGAGTGTAGTGGTGTAATCTCAGTGCACTGCAACCTCCGCCTCCTGGGTTCAAGTGATTCTGCTACCTCAGCCTCCTGAGTTGCTGGGATTATGGACACCCGCCACCACCCCAGCTAACTTTTCTGTTTTTAGTAGACATGGGGTTTCACCAGGTTGGCCAGGCTGATAGCAGTATAGTGTTATCCTGACCTCAGGTAATCTGCCTGCCTCCGCCTTCCATAGTGCTGGGATTACAGGTGTGAGCCACTGCGCCCAGCCATTTCCTTAGTTTTTAAAGCTGCCTTAATTTTGTAAGGAAGTATGGGGTATATGAATGTGCCTTTTCTGCCATTTAATCACAGTCTTTTTCTGTAGCTTAAAAACACTGACAATACTGAGTGGACAGATGAAGTTCTGATTCTCCAAATATTCATTTAAACATAGTCCGTTTCTCTTACTCCCATGCTTTGATGGGATAATATTTATGAGTATAGTGCACTGTGGCGATGCACACGTTCTGTCACTTTCCATACCATAATCTTATGGTATGGAAAGCACCTTACCATAAGATTAAAAGAGAAGTGCTTTCTTGCTTATCAAGTGTCATTTACAAACCTAACAGGTTTAAAACTTTGTTCTCTGTAGAATGTCTACTAGAGTCCTTTTAGCCACTCTTTCCATCCCTATTACTCCTGAGCGTACGGATATTGCTCGACTTCTGGATATGGATGGCATTATAGTTGAAAAACAACGTCGCCTTGCAACGCTACTAGGTCTTCAAGCCCCACCGACACGAATTGGCCTTATTAATGATATGGTTAGTATTAATTTGCCTTTTTATAGCTTTGGGCAGAAAACTTTGTGGTCAGGTTTAATACCCATGATTAAATACTAGGAATTCTGATTCATTGCCAGGGGATTCTGATGTATAGACAGGGAAGCACTGGTGTCAATCACTGTTCAGTTGAGGCAGTTCGCTCCAGTGGGTGAGCTGGGCTTAAATTGTTCGGAGTTTTGATGTAGGAGGACTTGGGTTGGCTCTGAGGAATACTGTGGACCATTCAGTAAGAGAAGAAGTATTGATGGGCAAGAAGGGTCATGGGTTATTTCATGGGGGCTCTAGAAAAACTAAGCTGTGTGTGGGAAATATCAAGAGGCTAGGTGTATTAGTATGTTCTTGCACTGCTTTAAAGAAATACCTGAGGCCGGCTGCGGTGGCTCACGAATGTAATCCCAGCGCTTTGGGAGGCTGAAGTGGGCAGATCACCTGAGGTCAGGAGTTAGAGACCAGCCTAGCCAACATGGTGAAACCCAGTCTCTACTAAAAATACAAAAATTAGCTGGGTGTGGTGGTGCATGCCTGTAAACACAGCTACTCAGGAGGCCGAGTCAGGAGAATCTCTTGAATCAGGGAGGTGGAGGTTGCAATGAAGTGAAATCATGCCACTGCACTCTGGCCTGGGCGACAGAGTGAGACTCTGAAACAAACAATGAAACAAAAAAATAGACGAGATTGGGTAATTTATTTTTTTATTTTTTATTTTTTATTTTTTTTGAGACGGAGTTTTGCTCTTGTTACCCAGGCTGGAGTGCAATGGCGCGATCTCGGCTCACCGCAGCCTCCACCTCCTGGGCTCAGGCAATTCTTCTGCCTCAGCCTCCTAAGTATTGCTGGGATTACGGGCACGCGCCACCACGCCCAGCTAGTTTTTTGTATTTTTAGTAGAGACGGGGTTTCACCATGTTGACCAGGATGGTCTCGATCTCTCGACCTCGTGATCCACCCGCCTCGGCCTCCCAAAGTGCTGGGATTACAGGCTTGAGCCACCGCGCCTGGCCGGGTAATTTATAAAGAAAACAAGTTTAATTGGCTTACAGTTCCACAGGCTGTATAGGAAATATAGTTGCTTCTGTATCTGGGAAGGCCTCAGGAAAATTACTGTCATGGTGGAAGGCGAAGGGGAAACAGGCGTGGCTTATATGGCTGGAGTAGTAGGAAGAGAGAGCAGGGGAAGGTACCACACACACTTTTTATTTCCTCGAAATGGAGTCTTGCTCTGTTATGCAGGCTGGAGTGCAGTGGCACGATCTTGGCTCATTTGCAACCTCCACCTCCTGGGTTCAGGAGATTCTCCTGCCTCAGCCTCCCTGGTAGCTGGGATTACAGGCACCCACCACCATACCCAGCTAATTTTTGTATTTTTAGTAGAGACAGGGTTTCACCATCTTGGCCAGGCTGGTCTTGAACTCCTGACCTTGTGATCCACCTGCTTCAGCTTCCCAAACTGCTGGAATTATGGAGTGAGCCACTGTGCCCAGCCCAGATATGTGTATCTTTTCGGTGTTTCACACTGATGGAATCTTCTGTTCAGTGAAAATTCGAGTGCCTATTAATGTGCCTAGCAGGTGAAACTGAAGGCAGAAGTTGTATTCCAGGGGAGCTTAGATTGTAGGGATTCTCATCATGGCAGTCTTGAGTTGGTGGTTATTGTAATCACCTCCAGTAGATTACTTCCGGATAATAGAAAAATAGGGGTAAGTACTAGAGAAAAGTATTAAGGAAAAATCAACTTGGCTGTATGTTTACCAAAAATGGAATTTAAATCATTAACAGTCCCTAATTATTCACGAATAGAGCATTAAAGAAATCACGAAGATAATGGCAAGCTCTCTTAGATATTTTTAAAATGTATTCTGAGAAAACACCTATAGTCACTCTGGTAAAAACTAGATAAAAGGCCTAAATTTTCTGCAGTAGTTAATTTAAGAATGAATATGTTTTCTAGATAGTGGTATTGTTCTTTTGGGACATAGCAATGCAGATCTGCTTTGTAGTTTATTTCTGCAGAGTTTCTACAGAGTAGCTTTTTCCTACTTTGTACCTCCTTGTTTTACTCTGCTGCCACTGCCCACAGAGTTCAACTTTCTGTTTATGGGACCAATGTAGGACTCAGTGTAATAATGCAACAGCAGTTTTGTGAGAAAGATTTCATTAGCAAATGTTTTAAAAATTTGCTTCTAATTTTTAATGCTGAAGAAATGTACCACACTGAAAGGATAATCCATGTCACCTTGCTGTTAAAGGTGATCTCTTAGACTTAAATTTAATGAACTGCCATATGTTGTCCCAGAGTGAAAGACATTTACAGTTGGCTGGAAGTAGAATTTTTAAGCTACTAAAACTCTGTGAGCAAGTCATAGTGATCACTAATGGGGAGCATTGGATCAGCAGCTAGGGCATCTAGAATAGGGCCCTCATTGTGCCCCACAGAGCAGGCGTCCCCAAACTTTTTACACAGGGGGCCAGTTCACTGTCCCTCAGACCTTTGGAGGGCTGCCACATACTGTACTCCTCTCACTGACCACCAATGAAAGAGGTGCCCCTTCCTGAAGTGCAGTGGGGGGGGGGGTGGATAAATGGCCTCAGGGGGCCGCAGTTTGGGGACGCCTGCCATAGAGTGTAGACTTCTACAAGGGTACCTATTAGTGTCAAGTTAAAGGATTAGCTGATTGCCAGGAGTCATTTATCAACTTTTTGAGTTGATCATATATCCGATGTCATTATCTGAGTGTGAGGGTGTGATAATTGAAATTTGTGAGACAGTGTGATTCAATTATCTCAGGAAGACTCAGGTGTTCGTAAGAGTGACTTTTAAATCAGAAAGCAAGCCAATTGTGTGTTTTAGTGAGGAATGTAATTCAGTAGGTTATGGCAGCCTTTTACATTCCCTATTTGGAAGGCGAGCTGCATGAAGATTCAAATAATTTCATAGAAATGAAATTAGAGCAGGGAACTTTTCTTTTTCTTAAAGACAGATTCCAAGTTAGTTAGGGAATTAAAAATAAATGGATGCTTATAAGGGGGAAGTATTAAACTGTTGTAGGATGTCAGTCTTTTACCCATTTTACATTGGAGTTAATCTTAGACCTGAGTGCTGGTGTGTTTGGGCAACCTCCTTGCTTGCTTGGGGATGGGATCTGCCAACATTTGCCTCAGTTTTGTCACCCACCGTCTTTGGGAACACACTCCTGGCCTTTGCTGTGTCCCAGCAGTTATTCTGTCCTTGCGTTAACAGTTCCCAACAAATGACATATTTCTTGGTAAAATTGAAGTCCATGTAAATGGGGTGATATGTGAAATTCTTTTTCTCACATGTAAGATTATGTTTGTGAGATTTATTCATGTGTTCTTACATAACTTTTCTTTTTTTGAGCATTTTTGTGTATTTTATGAACACAGCACCCTCTTCTTTATGAGTGAGTTCTTCCCAGTTTGGGGCTTTTAGAAATAGTGCAGCCATGATAATTTTTGTGTGACAATTTATGTAAAAGTAAAACTCTGTGAATCTAAAGCCTTAGCTGAAAGTGGAAAAAAAAAAAACAAGTAGACCTGGTATTTTCCTTGTTATTGGTAATAAACTATTCTGTTGGCCACAGTTTGATTGGTTGTGGTTGTGTTTTAGAGTTTCATTTGCTTTTTACATACTTGTAACTGTAGGTTAGTGCGCATAGTGTGGGGCAAGAGATCCAGCAAAGTTGTACTTGGATTCATCTTTGGTAAATTTAGAGGAGGTTGAGGCTTGGTGATTTTTTTTAAATCATTTTTCAGATTTCCAGTGCTATCATTTTCTTTAATTCATAGTCAGTTCAGAATCTTAGTTGGAAAATTTCCTTTGGCAGTTACGACTTTTGTTTTGCTTACTCTAGGTCAGATTTAATGTACTGCAATATGTTGTCCCAGAAGTGAAAGACCTTTACAATTGGCTTGAAGTGGAATTTAACCCACTAAAACTCTGTGAGCGAGTCACAAAGGTAAGCCTTTGGATTTAAGTTCTTTCTGATTGTTACCACAGAGTTGGCCTTATTGCACTTTTGGGTTGTACTGATACTCGTTTAGAAAGAAGTATTGTCCTATGTGTTAGAATTCAGTGCACATTTCATGTCTTTTTTCTTTATTTCAAGAGAAAAGATATTTCCGATGTGCTAAGCAAACCTCTGGAGGTTAATTAGCAGTAGGACTAGTTGTTGGTGTCAGTCATCTTCAAACAAGTATCAGTAGCTTCATGATACATTTTGTATTTCTCTGCATTGGATGATGTTTTTGTATCTTAACTGAAAGAATTTCAGATGTTTTGGTGTCTGTTACTGTAGAAAGTATGATTCTCTTTCAATTTAATGGATTTTACAGGTTCTAAATTGGGTTAGGGAACAACCTGAAAAGGAACCGGAATTGCAGCAGTATGTGCCACAACTGCAGAACAACACCATCCTCCGCCTTCTGCAGCAGGTACACATTAAAAAAGGTTTTGTGGAAGAACTGGAGTTTTCTTGTTTGTGTGTACTGATCATGAAACTAAAAACTGGAAAAATCTAGAACTGTTTAGGGAGTGAGAACCTCCCCAGGTTCTGCCCTTGCCCAAAATTAGTCTCATACTACTTACTAACTTGAAAATCAGGATAACTGTGTTTACACGTTTTGTAACTGACTTTTTTTTTTTTTTTTTGGCTGAACACTGTCTTTGGGCATCTTTCCTTGTTAGTAATGTAGGGCTACCTTATTCCTTTTAAGATACCATGGTTTGTTTATTCAGACTCTCTTGAAAACCTGTATTACTAGATTTTTTTCCTGTTAAAAATCTTGTAGCACTGAGCATCTTTCATACATGTATCTTTGCCTACTTCTGTTACTTTCTTTGGCATAAGAAGTGGAATTAGTTGTAGGGGTTATACATTTAAAGCTTTAATAGCTATTCAGAAGCCTGGATTAATAGATCCTCCTACCATTAGTGAATGAGACAGCCTTTTCATATATTTTAGTCCAGGGGCTTGAGTAAGTTTTAATGTTTTGGCTTATAATGGGGGCATAAGTGCTCCCATTTTGTTTTTCATTTGTTTCATTTTGGGAAGGAAGGCTTTTTATTATATTTTTACCTCAGTATTTGTGCACATTTCATTGACCTGCTTGCTTTTGTACATGTGAGCAGTGTTATTTCTTGTGTGCTATATAAATAGTTGAAGGCTAATTAGCAGTGTAACTCTAAATAGTAATGCTGCCAGTCTCCTTCAGACAAAAATTATCTAAGAAGTGTTTATAAATATATTTGGTAAGTAGTAGACTTTTAGTTTTTTTTCTTATTTTACGAAAACCAGGATTTGAAAAGGTTATAGGTTTGAGGAATAGTATGATGATAGTTCTCAAAGCATGAGATTTGGGGTTGATAGTCTGGGATTAGAATTCTGGCTTTGACAATGTACTACTAACATAATTCGCTGGCATAATTTCTACTTCCCATGACTGTCATGAGATTGCATATAAAAAGTGCTGAATAGGCCGGGCGCGGTGGCTCAAGCCTGTAATCCTAGCACTTTGGGAGGCCGAGGCGGGTGGATCACGAGGTCGAGAGATCGAGACCATCCTGGTCAACATGGTGAAACCCCGTCTCTACTAAAAATACAAAAAATTAGCTGGGCATGGTGGCACGTGCCTGTAATCCCAGCTACTCAGGAGGCTGAGGCAGGAGAATTGCCTGAACCCAGGAGGCGGAGGTTGCGGTGAGCCGAGATCGCGCCATTGCACTCCAGCCTGGGTAACAAGAGCGAAACTCCGCCTCAAAAAAAAAAAAAAAAAAGTGCTGAATAAATAGTGGTTAGTGTTATTAACGCTGTGTTTTCTATGCAGGTGGCACAGATTTATCAGAGCATTGAGTTTTCTCGTTTGACTTCTCTGGTTCCTTTTGTTGATGCTTTCCAACTGGAACGGGCCATAGTAGATGCAGCCAGGCATTGCGACTTGCAGGTAGGTAGGTGCTGTAAGGGGACAGAAGAAGGCCCTTGAGGACTAGAAAGACACATATCCTTTGTTTCTCATTTTAAAGTTTGCTGAGTGAATTTTTCTAGCTTTTGTATATGACTTTTTTTGTTACTTTTTTTGACTTCATGCTTACGTATGGATTTAACCATTTATAATTTAATTTTCAAAGGTTCGTATTGATCACACTTCTCGGACCCTGAGTTTTGGATCTGATTTGAATTATGCTACTCGAGAAGATGCTCCAATTGGTCCTCATTTGCAAAGCATGCCTTCAGAGCAGATAAGAAACCAGCTGACAGCCATGTCCTCAGTACTTGCAAAAGCACTTGAAGTCATTAAGCCAGCTCATATACTGGTATGCATCTTCCCAGGGAAATAAATCTCAGAAGTTTTGAGGGACTCTTATGCCATGTCTTTCACAAAAAGGTTTGAGATGATATCTAAGAGAAGGGATTTATCTCTATAGAATTGTACTTGGTAGAATTCTATAGAAGCAGAATTCTATAGAATTATTACTTTATCAAATACACAAACCATTGAGCTTTCTTCCACTGAACGAAATATTATTACTCTTTATAGGTAATGTAATAGTGTGGATTATGTTACAGAAGCAACAGAGTGGACATATGATTCCTCAAAGAGTAAAGTACAATGACTGGATTTTTCCCTCCTGCTTTTCTTTCTTTCTTTCCTTCTATATTTATTTATTTGTTTGAGATGGAGTCTCACTGTGTCACCTAGGCTGGAGTATAGTGGCGCCATCTTGTCTCACTACAGTCTCTACCTCCTGGGTTCAAGTGATTCTTGTGCTTCAGCCTCTTGTATAGCTGGGACTACAGGCACGCACTGTATGCCCTGCTAATTTTTTGTATTTTTGGTAGAGATGGGGTTTTACCGTGTTGGCCAAGCTGGTCTGAAACTCCTGGCCTCAAGTGATTCAACCCACCTTGGCCTCCCGAAGTGCTGGGGTTACAGGCGTGAGCCAAGTTATTTCTTCTTTGTGAGCTCTCTTAATGAACACCTAAGGTACGTTTGGTGCAGAGAAAAGTTGTCTTAGCTAGGAGAGCTTCTTTAGCTGCGTCATTGCTATTAAAAGACTGAATAGGAGCAACACCATAGCATTTGATACTGAAAACAAACAGCTTGGATAGTGTCATCTTCAATATCAAATGCAGATACATAGAAAGGCAATACATCAGGATTACTTTGTAATTTCTTTGATGCCTACTACCAGAGAATACTAATTTTGGTCATTTTTCAAAATTCATTTGTTTTCGAAGCAAGAAAAAGAAGAACAGCATCAGTTGGCGGTTACTGCATACCTCAAAAATTCACGAAAAGAGCACCAGCGGATCCTGGCTCGCCGCCAGACAATTGAGGAAAGAAAAGAGCGCCTTGAGAGTTTGAATATTCAGCGTGAGAAAGAAGAACTGGAACAGAGGGAAGCTGAACTCCAGAAAGTACGAAAGGCTGAGGAAGAGAGGCTGCGCCAGGAAGCAAAGGAGAGAGAAAAGGAGCGTATCTTGCAGGAACATGAACAAATCAAAAAGAAAACTGTCCGAGAGCGTTTGGAGCAGATCAAGAAAACAGAACTGGGTGCCAAAGCATTCAAAGATATTGACATTGAAGTATGTAGCATTTTAGTTTTTAAAAAGCTTAGTTTTATCTAGGTCTTTTATACTCTTAGAACCATAGTCCTTTGCCATTTGGTGGCTTATTTTGAGTTTTTTAATGCATTTTGGTAGAGCTGGCCATGACTAAATCTGTGAGTAAGCATATGTTTAATTGCTCTGTGCAGTTCTGTTGGTTTTTTTTTATTTTGAGACTGAGTCTCACTCTTGTTGCCCAGACTGGAGTGCAGTGACGCAATCTTGGCTCACTGCAACCTCTATCTCCCGGGTTCAAGCGATTCTCCTGCCTCAGCCTCCCGAGTAGCTGGGATTACAGGTGCCCGCCACTACGCTCTGCTAATTTTTGTATTTTTAGTATACATGGGGTTTCACCATGTTGGCCAGGCCAGGCTGGTCTCAAACTCCCAACCTCGGGTGATTCACCCGCCTCAGCCTCCCAAAGTGCTGGGATTACAGGCGTGAGTCACCATGCCTGGCCCACTCTGTGCAGTTTTTTTTTTTTTTTTTTTTGAGACGGAGTTTCGCTCTTGTTACCCAGGCTGGAGTGCAATGGCTCGATCTCGGCTCACCGCAGCCTCCGCCTCCTGGGTTCAGGCAATTCTCCTGCCTCAGCCTCCCGAGTAGCTGGGATTACAGGCACGCGCCACCATGCCCAGCTAATTTTTTGTATTTTTAGTAGAGACGGGGTTTCACCATGTTGACCAGGATGGTCTCGATCTCTCGACCTCGTGATCCACCCGCCTCGGCCTCCCAAAGTGCTGGGATTACAGGCTTGAGCCACCGCGCCCGGCCCTCTGTGCAGTTTTAACCACTATATATTAATCATAGGACAGATTATGTATCCCTTACCCAAAATGCTTGGGAGCAGATATGCTTCAGATTTTGGATTTCTTTGGATTTTGGAATATTTGCATATATGTATATAAAGAGATATTTTGGGGTTTGGACCAGAGTCTAAACACGAAATTCATTTGTTTCATAAGACACTTTTTTTTTTTTTTTTTTTTTTTTTTTGGTATTTTTAGTAGAGACTGGGTTTCACCATGTTGACCAGGATGGTCTCGATCTCTCGACCTTGTGATCCACCCGCCTCGACCTCCCAAAGTGCTGGGATTACAGGCTTGAGCCACCGCGCCCGGCCTTTTTTTTTTTTTTTTTTTTTTTTTTTTTTTTTAAAGATAGTCTCACTCTGTTGCCCAGGTTGGAGTGCAGTGGTATATTGGCTCCCTGCAACCTCTGCCTCCTGAGTTGAAGTGATTCTCTTGCCTCAGCCCAAGTAGCCAGGATTATAGGCTTGTGCCACCATGCCTGGCGGCTAGTTTTTGTATTTTCGTAGAGATGAGGGTTTCACCATGTTGGCCAGGCTGATCTTGAACTCCTGACCTCAAGTGATCAACCTGCACTAGCCTCCCAAAGTGCTGGAATTACAGGTGCACACTACCATGCCTGGCCTGTTTCATAGACATCTTATACACATAGCCTGACGGTAACTTTATACAGTATTTTACACAATTTTGTGCATGAAACAGTTCTGAATGCATTTTGACTGACCTGTCACGAGTTAGGTGCAGAATTTTACATTTGTGGCACCATGTTGGTGCTCACAAAG